ATTATTTCAATATGGTTGTAATAGATAATCAGGACTTTACTTTCTTGCAATTCCCATTTGTAAATTTGTACACCCCATCCCCCTAATGATTGTAATAGCGTAGAGTATTTATTTTTCGCAATTTATCGCTTTCATATAAATGCTAGTAAAGTAGAATTTGTATGGGAAGATACAAATTAATTAGACAACCCATAATCAGAGACTAAATGCATGAATATCAAACACACTACTCACACATGCATCCTTAGGGTAATTCCACCTGTTTCCTTATAAAAATGGTCATGTTATGCACGTGGGATGTCTTAGCAAAAATAAGCAAAATACAAGATCATAGTCCCTCGATGACGCTACGAATGTTGCCTTTCAAATGATCTGAGTCCCTCAAGAGAAATGCTAAAATATCTCACAACATTGTTATCATGACTATACGATGACCCATGCCCGTCCCTTTACATCCAAAGATAAGGATTCTTACCAATCAATGGTAAGATGGCAATATCAAAGGAAGAGTGAAATGAACAAAAGACTTTTGAGTAGGTAGAAACGTTCCTAGTTGCTTGCTCACTTTCAAAACAAATATCCTTGCAAACACACACCAAACACTTTCAAAACATGAAATATTTTCAAAAGTCCAACACTTTGTATACGTTCTTATAAAGACAAGAACCATTATAAAGTTTTCCTAAACGAAGGCGCCTTTTCAAAAATACTTTCAAAAAACCACCACAAAGCATATTTTCAAACAAAGCAAGTGATCTAGCGAGCAACTAAGAGCCCATAGATAACTATGGATGAAAAGGGTGCTAATACCTTCCCTTTTCATAATCTACCCCCCGAACTCAAGAAATTAATCTCAAAGGTCTTTCCTGTTCTTTTCAGCCTTTCCTCATTGGATAAAAGAAAAGTCGGTGGCGACTCTTGCTAACTTCAACATTTGCGATCAAACACAAAACATCCTAAGTCAGTTCTCCCACCGTATTACAGAACTAACAACTTTGCTGGGGATAAACTTAAAAGTGGGGTTACCTTAGAGTTAGATCACCTTTACTTGCTTTCATTGTTTAACTTGCTTGCTTTACATTATGGTTCCTTGTTTGGGCTTGTTTTGATCCTCTACCCGGATCTGAGACACCTTTTTAGGTAAGTAGTAATATGTTGTGGAAACTGTGTGGGGTATACCGACATGGTCTAAGAAATATCTAAGTTAGTGTGACACATTTGTTGGTACCAGTAACCCTTGAGTAGTCAAGGAGAATACGGGGCCGCTGTGTGGTTTCATAAAGCACTAACTAACTTTAGAACCTTTACTTGGCCAACTTGGCCATTAGGAAGTAGTGAGGTAGTCGGCTTTGGTGCAGTCTGAAGTTGGTTGATACTCGATACTACGCTCATTGAGATCGGACTTCTCGGGATATTTCGGTCGCCATTAAAGAGGCTTGCACTAAAACAATGCCCGATGAGGAAAGATCAGTGATATTGAGATCCCTTAGAACCCGGTTACTATTACTAGGACAGGTTGAGCCAACTAAACTTCAAGAGGGTACATACATATAAGACTCAGTGCATGGCTACACCTAAGGGTTTGTTTGCTTTGTGTATATGCATACTTGTACATAACATCATAACATCACACCATTGCATTTCACACTAACCATTTCAAGGATTATTGGGATTTATTTTTGTTCTGTTTTGTAGGATATGACTTTTACCTGCAGGAACACTATCCAAATCAATCTCATAAGAATTCCTTCTCAACTCAAAGAGTTGGCATCAAGGGTTCATGAGAGTTCTTCATTCACCGAAAGATATGGTCTCCTCCTCAACTTGGTTACCTCAAGCGTCAATAAAGACATGATGAAAGTGATTTTCCAGTTCTTCGACCCTCTATATCATTACTTTAATTTTCTCGATTATCATCTTGTACCTACTCTGGAAGAATTCTCTCAACTCTTGAGGTTTCATATTCTCAATCAACTACCTTTCAATGTTACAGAAAGAGATCCAGGTGAAACAACCGGCTGAAAATCATCAAACAATGAAGTCGCCATCGAACGTCTTTTATCCCACGGGAAGGGAAAGGTAAACATCGAGTAAACCTGAGAAGGGTGAAATCGAGGTCGAACGACCAAGAGATGAGGGTAAGGGAGTCTGTTACGCGAGGGGAAGGTATTAGCACCCCACACGCTCGTAGTACTCTACGGTATCCACTCTTGTTGTCTATCTTATGGGTGTGTTTAATCTATGCTTATTGTTTATTATTGCTAAAGGGAGAATGCAATGAAAAAGAAAGGAGAAGAAATGTAGGGAAAAAATAAAATTGTGCTCGTTCGGGCCCTACCCCAATGCCTACGTATCCTTTTTGAGGAATCAGAGCAGCCGTAGTTCGGCTTATATGTTTTTGTTTGTTTGTATTTTTTACGGAACAATATTAATTTCGCCTTCTGCCGCAACTCGACCTTTGGAGATTTACGCGTCAGCACAGAAGTGAATTAACATGCTCTTTTGAAAAGGTTTGAAGAAAATGTGCCTGGGCGCACAAAAAGTTTGAATTTGTTTGTATTTGTAATGAACGATATTAATTTCGCCTTCTGCCGCAACTCGACCTTTGGAGATTTACGCGTCAGCACAGAAGTGAATTAACATGCTCTTCTAAAAAGGTTTTGAAAGAAAGGCCCGAAGGCAAAAAGAATTTTGTATTTGTTGGTATTTTTGCTTGTAGATAATAGCTAGTTAATCTCAAGAGAGAGATATTAGTCATTTCTCCACTTATTCATGAAATGAGTCTTTGAGACTTGAACCATACCAAAGCTTAGAATAAGAGAATAATAAGGTCGAGAAGAAACCCGCTTATCATCTCTCATACTTAACACATATATGATTCTCGTCAGTAATTTTTTTTAGTATTTTGAAGTTTGTAAAAAAAAGGAATTTTGTTTTAATGCATATGCAAAGGAGGAAAGAAAGTCACATGAAGACTAGCCTATTTCTAAACCTAATTTTATCACGCGTTGTTATCGTGCATTAGTAGCCATAAGATTTGGGTTCTTGAGGGAATTCTATCTAATATTAACAAGCAGTAAAGAAATGCAATAAAGTGCAAAATGAGGTGCAAGGGTAGTAGTGGAGGCTACCAAAGTGAGCAAGTTGTCAAGAGCAGGCGCAAGCACTGAAAAAGCAGGGAGTACGCGTCGAGCAAGAATATGAATTTCTCAGGATGACGATAAATAAGGCGTGTCGCATATTGAACCTGCATAAGATTCAAGTCTCGACAAAACAAAGGTGAGTCATGGGTCTCAACTAATCAGATAACCAACGGATTAACTCTTGAGAAATCAAATAAGTATTAAAAAAACTAACAAATTCTTACGGATTTATTTTATGTATATATATATTTATTGTTTTTTTTTTATAAGGAAGATTAAGATAAGTTCTTAACTATAATAAAAATTATATAAAAAAATAATTTTTGTCATTATTATTTAAAAAAAAAACAAAGAATTAACAAAATAATAAAGAAAGAAAAAAAAAAGAAAAGGGGGTCGTTTTGGAATTGACAGTAGACTCCTTCTTCTCTTCTTTAAAACGACGCCGTGTGAACGAACCACCGCCTTTGTTTCACTCCGATCAATGACTGTCGTAACTTCACCATTAATCTCCTTCCCCGATAAAACCTCGCGTGGTCTCCGTCTCCTCAATATCATCACCTTCGTTCTTACTTCATCTCCCTTCTCCTCTAAACTTCCGCATCATTCCTCGATTTTCCACGAACAACAACTCTCCAGAAAAAAAAAAGAAATCCTGCCACACATTCTACACGGAGGTGCTAAAAGGAAAGAGCAAAATAGCGAAGGGAATGAGATGACAGTGCTTACCTACCGGAGAGGTCTAGTGTTCTTTGAGGATGATGAAGATGAACAGAAATCTGGTAGTACTGGTGTATTCAGGTTTGAATCTCTCAACTCATATGCGTGACCTTTTTCCTCTCAATCTTCTTCTTCTATGAATCGACCGTTCTGCACCGTAATCTATTTGTTTGTGCGTTTTGTGGCGTGATGCACTGTTGTTCTTGAGCCGAGCGCGATTTGTTTTGAAATCGTTGAGGATGATGCTGATGATGTACAAAGTTTTTTTTAGATTCTCGTTGAAGTCTTTGAAGAAGATGATGGGAGTTCAGAAAAAATTGAGAGTGAATGATGGAGAGGGACGAAGTTGTTTTGAAGCTGATAAAATGGTGAAGTTTTGAAACTAGAAAAGAGAGAGAGTAACGTCGTCCCCTGAAACCTGGAGGGAGTTTGGATTATATAGGTAGTTGAGGGAGATGGAAATGGTTATGTGAGAATCAATCCGAACCATTGATTTGGGTAGAGTTTGTTAGGGATTGAAGGGTGAGATTGAGAGTTTGTTACAAGGTGGTTATGCTAGTTGGAATTCTGTTTTCCTGGATATGAACCTCTTTACTATTATATGACTAGTATCCTTTAAACTTTTTAAATTTCTCCCTCATGACATGACCTTATCAAGTTAGAAAAATGAATGAGCATATTCAATAATATATCATCAGAACTGCAATGCAAGATTTGGCTGCAGCTGAGGACCAGTTTCGATATTGGAGCTCTGTGAATTTGTTGCCTCAATCATCCTATTCAAGTTACTAGCATGTGAAAAAGAACTTTGTGGCTTAGTAAGAGTTTCTGATCCTTGCCAAGACGAATTTTCGGCTAGCCCCTGAGACGATCTTCTTGACTTAAAACCCATATTCTAGACCTGATAAATTGCTGGAATCTGATTGACTTGAGTTGTTGAAGAATTGGGCCTTGAGAGCTGTCAGATTAACATTTGTAGGAGCAATTTGACTAGAAATGTTGTGTATAGTATTCATGTCTAACATTTGAGGAGCATTACCGGCATTTGAAGAACTGGTTATGTCAGCAAGTCTTACCAATTATCTTCTTCCTTGGCAATTGCATCCTGGTATTGTTGGTACTCTGCTACCAAATCATTCATGTTACTCTCTGCCTCTGTGAACTCCATCTCATGATTCCAGTCTTGTAAATAATTGATGGCCATCCAATTGCTGTGAAGGAAAAAACACAAGCTAAACTTATCTTCGCTCTATTTATTTCATTTGGTCTGAACCTGGTCAAATCAAAGTGAACGACCAACCAGTGAGCTATAGACATCCAACATCGAAATGGACCGTATCCATTTATTATTGCTTTCCTCAAAAGTGGATTTGACTCAAACTCGTCTTTCCAAACAGGCTGCCAAGCAGTATCTTCTTTCAACATGTCCGTTTTTGCATGATGCTTGTCATACTTAAATCGCCATGGCTCATATGGATAAATTAGTGGTAAAAAGGCCAGAGTTCCAACAATGTCTTCTACCAATTTGTTTGTTAAAAATGATTTGTGAGCGCAATCATGTCCTATAACAAAGAACCCAGTTACGGCAGTCCCCGTCCAAGCCCAAGCCAGGGGAAGTAAATACCAGGGTGCTTCAGAAATCATAAGAAGCCCCAACACATACGAAGTGGCTGATATCAAAACAGTTTTCCATGCTTTCACATCATAAATCTCAAAAACCTTCTTAGGAAGAGAAGTGATGACGTCCTTCAACGTAACAGTCTCCGGAAGCGGTTCTCCGATTTGGTTAAAACCGTAGCGTTCAGCTAGCTCTTTTCTGTACTCCGCACTTTCCACTGGAGCTGGTTCTAGTGGAATTGCCACAGCTCGTATAATTCTAAATTTACTCGTAGGTATAAATTGTCTTTGACTTTGATGCGTAAACTCTTTACGGAATAAGATGGATGGGTTACCGGGTGAGTGATGATGAAGAGAAATGTTTCTTCTCAAATTCAAAATTGGCTTCTGGTGGGAAGAACACTTTAATTGGAGTAATGAATTTGCAGAGGTGCAAGCCATGTTGAGAGAAATTGAGCTCTCTGTTTTTGTAAATTGTTAAATACACAAACACAACATCTGGACAAACTATTTGGGAAGAAGCGTTCCTAAGCTTGGCAATTACCAATGGGTTGCCAATTACTTTAAATGTCTCGTCAAAGACTTTCAGACCCAGGCGTTTCTTTCCCTTTTGAAGAACATTGCAAAATTCAAACGGCAATTGAGTGGTTGTGTTTTTCTGTCGCAACAAACTCCGAAGTAACTGCAAATACTTTCCACTGACTTAGAAGCTTGAGGTGCTGTAGTATACATGACATGGATCTTACAGTCACAATTCTATTCACAAAAATTATACATTTCCTGTTCTGTTGCAACCTAAAACTAGTCAATATCCCAATGAGGCGTAAGAGCTTTGCTGAGAAAAAAGGCTCCTTTAATATTTCCAAAGAAGATGGATCAGAAACAATGTCACCTGTAGTTTATTATGGTTGGGAGCAACAGCAGCAGGCTGTGTTAGTGTAGCTATATGACCTGAAATAACCGGTGAAACCTGAACTTGCATGTTACAGTCAGAAGGAGATGCCAATGACTTATGTTGCTTCAATGAAGAGCTAGTTGATCCAGAATGTACCTTCTGCTGCAATTGGCAATTATTAGAAGGACGAGCAGAACCTGGGGGCTTGGGTGGTTGGCTTGGATCTAAACCAGATCCAGGATATGAAGTTTAACCTTGTATAATTTGTGTGATTTGATCACCTTTCTCAACAGGTTGGCTTCCTGAAGCTACAGATAATCCATTTATATGAGAAGGATCAACAGCATTGTTCTGCTGGATCAACATGTTTCCAAAGGTTGTGCACTGGAGATGTTGTCACACTCTAGAGATGAATTAGGCATTGAGTTAACAACTTCATGATGAACATTATTTTGAACAGCAGAATCAACAGTCAAAGCTTGAAACTCAAATTCACCATCCCATTTTGATTTTTCTTCCCTACTTTAGGCTTTTTATTCTCTTCAGTTTCTCTCTTCAAACGAAGTTTAAATTTCTGTAGATGACTAGTAACTTGCTGAGTTGTCAAACCAGGGACATTCATGAGTTTCATAACCTTTTTTGCCTTTGCTTCGTGAATACCAAGTTGATTCATAGCGCATAAGAATTTTTTTATGCAATTTTTGTGACCATGAAAAACGACTCCTCTTTGTTGAAGGCTGATAGTTAATATTATCAACACAAGAAGAAGTAGGTGCATAATCATCTCTTTCCCTTTTTTTCCAAATCTTTTACATTCAAGATTTCAAGAACTTGATCATGCTGATTGTTTTCTTTCAAAACTTGTCTTACAACATGTTGCCATATGTTCTTGATTTGACCTTCACTCAAAGGCTTAATCCAATATCCACAAGCGCTTTTTTTCAATCGCCTTCATCATTAGACTTGGAGTTTTTGATTGATCAACACACATCATAATGACTGGAATTTGATTTGCTGTGTAACATGTTGCAAGAAATGGTAGGAATTTATGTCAGGCATTTGAGCTTCAATTAGGATCACGTCATAAAGATTCTTTATTTCTTTCAAAAAGTTCAATGCAAAAGATGCATTACAGCATGTTGTAACTAGATAATTGCATCGAATACACATCTCTATAATGGAATTCAGAGTAATTGTGTCACGATCCACTACAAGAAACCTTAAACCATGTGGAAATTGGTGGGGAAGTGGTTGTATTTATGTGAAAAAAGTCATTGTAGAAAAGAAGAATGCAATAGAGTTTTTGAGAAACGAAGATAATAAAATAATGTGTTGTTTATCAGAAGGTAATAGCCTTGCTGCTTGAGGGAGAGGAAGTCCAAAAAATGAGAATGAACCGAAATCCTAATTCCCCAACTTGCTGACACCAGGAAGACCCTGAATAATCAGGCTCATTCCACACATACACCTTAAATCAGTTGTAAACCTTAGCTCCCTAACTGCTGGTCTTTTGAACCTCAGGCGATCTATTGAATGCAAATGTATGTTAATGACCTAATAAAAAGATATGAATGCAATGCTAAGCCTAAGCCAAATGTAAGAAACTAGGAGGGCAAATTTTGGGGTGCAACAGCTGCCCCTATTTAATCGCCTTAGACCTGAAGGTGAGATTGGCGCCAGCCTTTCGAACCTTCAAGGTAAAAGAAGATTAAATATTAAAAGAACCCGAAAATTTGCGCTCGGAATCCAGTCAGGTCTACACTATATTTTGGTTTTCTGTACTTTCTATATTTTTTTTTCTTCTTTCTTTTTTTTGGTAAATGAGGTTATCAGGGTTAGATGTATGTTTAACCAGGGTTTGACACACAGCAGAATAACTTGGTTATCAAGGAACATCTGTTGGGATTTAGTAACAAACACCTGTAAGAAAGATATCAAAATATATATGCCTGAAGTATGTAGTAGACATACGGAAAAAAAAAAGAAAAAAAAATTATCAGAGACACATATCCGGGGTTGGTAGCGGATACGCAAGAAAGAGACATCAAAGATACATATTTGTGGTCGGTATCAGATACGTACGAAAGAGATAATAAAAGATACATATCCGTGGTCGGTATCGGATACGTACGAAAGAGACATCAAAGATACATATCCGTGGTCGGTATCGGATACGTACGAAAGAGACATCAAAGATACATATCTGTGGTCGGTATCAGATACGTACGAAAGAGACGTCAAAGACACATATCCGTGGTCGGTATCGGATATGTACAACAGAGACATCAAAGATACAAGAACATATGTCTGGGGTTGGTAGCAGACATATAAAACAGGTATCAAAAATACATATCCGTGGTCGGTATCGGATACGTAAGAAAGAAATAGATACATATCCGTGGTCGGTATCAGATACGTATGAAAGAGACAGACCGAAGAAAGCTCTTACAAAGAAAACACGAATCGAAGGTGAACTTACTAAGGGAAGAGACCAAACAAATGGGACTCCTGACAAATGATACCAGTCGACGATGGATTTCGACAAATGATACCAGCCGAAGCGGGGTTTTGAAAGATATCTGCCGGAGCGGGATTTTGAAAGATACCAGCCGAAGCGGGATTTTAACAAACGATACCAGCCGAAGCGGGATTTTGAAAGATACCAGCCGAAGCAGGATTTTGAAAGATACCAGCCGCAGCGGGATTTTAACAAAGGGTACCAGCCGAAGCGGGATTTTAGGATAAAGAAACCAGCCGAAGGGAAATATTCATCCAGGAATACTATGCCGAAGGTAGATTCCTAAGAAAAGAACGCCGGTCAAAGGCGAACTTACAACTGCAAAGAGACCAGCCGAAGGGGACTCTCAACAAATGATACCAGCCGAAGGTGGATTTTAAAGGATGCCAGCCGAAGGTGGACTTTAGGATAAAGAAACCAGCCGAAGGGGAATCTTCGTCGAGGAATACTATGCCGAAGGTAGATTCCTAAGAAAAGAACGTCGGTCGAAGACGAACTTACAACTGCAAAGAGACCAGCCGAAGGGGGCTCTCAACAAATGATAAAGGTATGCATATCTGGTCAGAGTTAGATACACCAGAGCGAAGGTTATCATCAAGAAACAAATGTTTAGAGTTGATAGTGAACACAAGAATGAGACTAGTCAAAGAAAGCCCCAATAAACAAGACACGTTATCTTAAATAAGGATGCCAGACAACTGGACTTCAAAGAGATACTGAAGGATTCTTAACATAAAAGGTTAGCTAGGCTAACGAAAGGAGGAGCCAACTAACGTGGATAAACCAAAACAAGAAACCGACTAAGCAGGACCTTCAAAGAGCACCGATCAAAGGTGAACTTTACAAGAGAAAGAGACTGGTCAAAGCAGACTCTAACAAAAATTGCCATTATACGTTGGGCTTTTGATAGGTTGCAAATACGCAAGAACTAAAAATCCCTCAGGCCAGAGGCGGGGTGTTAATTCTTCAAGACTGGCAATTGTCTGAATTACCACACACCAAGTATGGATACTCAAACACTTGAGAAGCAAGAAAGGTTATAAGCCAACTCTTACTCATACTCTAACTACAAAGCAAACGCGGGTAAAATAACCAAAGGCTTACAAAGGCAAGCGCAAACCACAAACTTACTAGGCAAATGGAGAAATACCAAAGACCCGACTGGTGGTGAATCCATACAAACTCTGTTGGCGAAATATAATAGAATTACCCTAGGCTTCTTGTGGAGGTAAATCAAATCTGAGCGTATAACAATCTGGTTACCATAGGCGGACACAATTGGCTTATACTCATGCATGTTTGAAATTTTTTCTTATAGCGTAATGCTCCATGCAAGGGAGATGCTACGCATTTTGGTAGATGCAATGTAATGATGTAATGTAATGATGCAATGCATTAAGAAAACAGGTCAACAATCGGCTGCTGAGAAGCCAAAGAACTTCCGAATGATTATTCTTGTACATCTGATCTTTTGTAGAGAAAAGGAAAAATGAACTTCAATGGGGCATCGAGACTCAGAACCGCCAAACCCTAAAGATTGATATCACCGGGGAAGTAACTTCTTGGGGAGAATACTTACAAAAATAAATTGTAGTTCGGAGAAAAGAATTGACTTCTGATCAAACTCCCCACTTCACGGGGAATAAATTCTTTATCCTCTACTGGTAAGAGGAAAAGTTTGCTGGGAATGGAAACTTCTGGCATAGAAATTCTTTGACGAAGATAACTTATGTTGGGGAGTATATAAATTCTTAAATAAAAAGAATTCTACTCAAGCCGCACTGGGGATAACATTGTTGGGAGGTAAAAGGTTCTCACTTGGGGTAGGAACCACATCCCGAGATAGAAACTCCACTAGGGATACCTTAATAAAATCTTCTACCACTGGTAACGAAAGAGTTATGACTGGAATTCTTCATGTACACCTCACTAGAGATAAAGGACACTTGCTCCATTAGGGAAAGAAGAATAGTTCTACTGGGGAAATTGGATCTCATTATACGAACATCCTCACATTAGTCACATACA